GGTAAAGTAGGAAAAAACACACAAAACAAGCTTTCTTAAAGAAAAGGAACTTTGTCAGTTTTACCCTTGACTCTGGGTTGGTGTGAGAAAAGTCTTCCCTAATAATTCTAGCCACAAATCCTCTTTGTTGCCAAAGTAGGGCAAAATTTACACTTCCCATGTTGAATATTTAAAGCAATACCAGATTGATAGTCTTACTACACAGTCATTCAGCACAGCGATTTTTAGTCAATGCCATGGCACACTGGTGTGCCACAAGAATTTTTAAAACATGCACCAGACTATTTAGTGAGGGGCACTCACCTCTTTTCCCTTAGGTTGTCAAATTAAAAAATGACAACAGCAAACACAACAATAGCCGTCTGGTGTGAATGAATCAGAATTACACCTTTTTTTTTCTTTTTTGTGTCAGGTCGGCAAAAAATTAATTTTGGTGTGCCACAGAATTTTAGTAATTAGTTTTTTGTGTGCTCTGAGGTGAAAAGGGTTAAAATCTCTGCTCTAGTAGAAAGAAAACAAATCCTCTCCTGAAGAGCACATTTTAAGCATAATCTTTGTAAAGTTAAGAATTGTAAGTTAATAACACATACAGGATAACTTTCCCTACGTAATATACACATTTGTGCAATCAAATAAAAATATGGGTTGCTGTTTAAACATAATCTTCAAACTTCCCACAAATGAACTTTCAAGGAAAATAGGCTTAACCTATAAAATCATGAAGCATGTAAGTAATCATGAGAGTGGCTTAGCAAAAACCACAAATCACAAAACCCTCAAAGATTGCAGATACTGTGATTATCAAATATAGGTTATAAAATAAGAATGCTTAAAGGAAGGAATGATCAAGAAACCAAATGTTGATTGGATTTGAGAAAAGAACCAAAAGGAACTTTAAGAAACAAAAAAATATAAAAGAGATCTTAGAAACTTACTGGACAAGTTGACCTCATCTTAGAAACAGCTGAAGAGATAATGAACTGGAAGAAAGATCTTAATAAATTGTGCAGAATGTAATTTCTTAGAAAGGCAAATAAATGGAAAATGGGAGGTTGGTATAGAATGGTAGAACATAGGATGAGAAGGTATATTTTATTAGAGTTTCAGAAGGAAGTAATAGAGCAATTGGTGGAGAAGAAATATTTGAAGAGATAATGGCTAAGAATTTTATGGAACTGATGAAAGATACATTAGATTTCAAAGAGGTTAGTGAATCTCAAGTAGAATAAATTAAAAAGAATTTCACACTTACACTTAACGATTGCAAAACACCCTTTACAGAGATTAAGCAACCACAGATAAGAGATTAGGAGTGTCAGCTAGATTAATGGCTGATTTCTGATGAGCAGTAGTGCACATCAGAAGGCAGTGGAGATATCTTTAATGTGCCGTAAGGGAATATGTCTCTAGCAAGAATTCTGTATACAGCAAAGGTAGAGGATAAAAATAAAAGTATTTTTAGAGGAACTACAATTTGAGAGTTTACTAAAAAATACCTGAATGATATCCTTGGGGGGAAAAGAAAATGATTCCAGAAGAAAGGTCTGAAATGCAAGAAAGAATGATGATGGTCATAGAAAATAGTCAACATTTATGTAAATTTAATAAATTTTGACTATAAAACAAGAATAATAGTATATAATATATATATACACATAGGTACAAAGTCTTTTATTTTAATATACTAGGCACTGTCACATTTATGCTCTCATCTGAAAAATCCCTAATGTAATAAGCTTTTTTACTTTAAGTTTCATATCTGTTATGACTAAAACTTACGTCACCATTTTAATAGAATGCTTTATTAATGAAATGCTCTATAAGGGGAAGAAATCCCTGATCTGGTTATTGTAGCAGATCATGGTCCCTTCTGACCCATATCCACGTTATGTACTTTTTGCAGTTGTATTAATATAAATTGTAATCATTGTATGGTTAATGCTGACTTCATACTTAATCTCTGTGTGTCTTTAGTTGGACATATTTCTCATAGGATAACCTGTAATAGAGAGAGAGTAGTACATGTGGATTGTTTTAAGAAGTGGTGAGATGATATATGTAAAGCGTTCAGTTCAGTGCCTAGGTCATAGAATTGCTTAATTGCTTTTGTTACTGTGGTTATGGTTTTTTTCACTCCATTGTATGAAAGCATTTTCCATTTTGATGTTTTTCATATTTCATTAACCCTAACATGCACGTCTGGTGCACATTGTAACTCCTCTGAAAATAGGGATACATCCTAAAATATTTGGTGTGTCATAGTTTAATAAATGGCAATTTTTTCTTTGTGATATGTTAGTGCCCCTTTAGATTTTATAAAATATGGTAGTGTATCTTTATAATTTTGAATGGTTGTGCACTCCTTTACCAAATGAATGTGTCATAGTTTCCTTTTTCCTTGTCTGACTTTGAGTTAATTCCATTTCTTGGCTCTTATAAATAGTGTTAATATGTGGGAACGAGTTGCAGTATTTTATGCAATCTCCAGTAAAGAATGAGTTGGCAAATTTTATGCCAATGTGGGAATTATTTTTAAGTGCTTTGCTAATTTAACGAGTGTAAAATGGTATTTTATTTTCCTAGTATTTGTTTTTAGTGTTCTGTTGCAGTTTTATGTTGTCATCCATTTGTCTGTTGTGATTTGCACCTGTTTCTTCAAAGCTAATTTTCTTTGACATGATAATTTACTTTTAACTTCACCTTGCAGTTATTTTGATGTAATGTATTAGTGTTTGTGTAGTGGACTTTTGAGAGTGTACAGTTGAATTACCTCCTATTCAAAACCAACATACTTTATAAAAAAGGATATGGGGTATTTATACTTAGTGTTAATTTCTTTTCAAGTATTAATACAATTTAGTTCTTAAAATAAGGAATTCCTACCTCAGTTTACAGCTGAGAAAATTGACACTCAGATGAATTAGGAAAATTTCCCACGATTACACAGTTGTTAATGTTAGAGCTAGGTTTTGAATTCAATTGTAATTCTGGAGCCTCAACCATTATATGTTTACATAATGATTATTAAGTACCTTGAAATAACAGTTCCTATTCTGCTTTACTAAAGCCACATACTACTATGCATAACAATTTAAGTTTCTGTGAGAGCTGTAGTCTTTATTATTTGCCATTTTCTTGGGTAGGGATATAACTGGTATTCTCAGAACTGAGGAATGTGAGGGAGGAGGAGGGTATGTAAGTACATAGATTTTCTTCTATTAAAGTGCTTAATATCAAGTTTAATACTGTTTACATGGCAGGGAAGCTAGGTTTATCACAAATTCCTCATAGTTTTTTCCTGCTGTCAGAAATTAAGCTCTACGTAAATTCCCAAATCATATTCATTTAGCTCAGTTGTAAAGGTGAAGTTGTGGGAGGGTACTACTGTGGTGAAGGCAGAAAGGGTGTGTGTTGTCTGTAGGGAATTTTTAAACAATAAATTGACTAAAAGGCATATGCTTATTATTCTATACCTGGCAATTCTAAACAGTGTCAGTGGTAAAATAATGCCACTGCCATCACCATTTTAGGCCCAGCCTTTGCTCCCAGCATATGAATGAACTTTGACATGGATAAGGACATTGTGTCTGGGTGTTCCCTTTTTCCCAAATTGAGTTTCAGTTGATAAGCAATCAAAAAATACATGGCAAGCTATACAGTGTAATTAAACAATGTTTCATTGGTTCTTATTGTCATGTTAGTCATAATAGTTGCACAGTAAGGAAACTCAAGTAAAAAATCGGTTTATTAAATTAAAAGGTTACTGAGGAATTTCATGGGACATAATTGCAGGAAGTACAGTCAGGGCTCCCAGAAGCTGAGTCTTCTCAGCAACTCTGAGGGCTCTGAAGTTCCACCTACCCAGAGTCCTGCTTTGGTTAGCCATTTTTTGGTGTTGGTTATACCTTAAACGCTGATGAAAAAAAATTTTTTTAAACACCATGAGTCAGTGTCAGTTGTAAGACCACCCCCCATGTAGACAGAATTTATAACAATCTCCTGATACATGGCTCAGTGTGTACCAGTTATTTTTCATGAAAACTGAATCCCAAGTATATGCAGGTCATAAGCTTGAAAGCACCTTGCCCTTTGAATCTGCCTTCTAGTGCTTGCCATCCAGGGAAAGGGCCTATAGCCGAGAAGACAGTTAAAAGTAACTTTCTGGAAAAGGTGTACTTTTTGAAAGGGTCATTAATGTATTTGAGAAGGATCGAGTCCAGTTGTTTGGTTTACTGAGATAAGAGAAGTGTATTTGTGCATCCTGCTTTCTTCTCTCTCCATCTTTTGAATACTCTTCCCCACCCTGCATACTGTGATCCATTTCTACTTTTCACCTGTATGTGTGTCTGATTAAATGATGTATGCAAAAGATCACTTTGTATGGTAATTTTACATAGTAATGTTGTGGACATTAAGCAGGGGCTGGGGGGAGAGGGTAAAGGGGGGGAAATTGGGGGACATCTGTGATACTCTCAACAGTTAAAAAAAAAGAATATACACTTTAAGGACAAATTTGGAAAAGCACATTCTAATGTAGGGCATTTCCAGTGATAGATCAGACTCAGAGGAAGGTCTTTGTTTCAGCTTGAATAGCAATAAAAATTATATACTCTAAAATCTCTCTAGATAACTCAGAATTTTCTCTGGATAAACAAACACATGGTAATGTCAAAGATATATGAATAGTCTGAATACATTTTATGACATTTGCAAGTAGATTGAGGTAAAGCAATATTTCTATATTAGTACTGTTGTATAAATATTTATTATATAGGTAGCTAAATTTTATGTAGATACATTTCAAGTTCATACACTTAAAAAGATTTTTAGTATCAAGTTACGCCAAAAACTTAAAATAGTATTTGATATTTATTTATTATTACATTACTTAATATTGCGGTTTTCTTCACACTTAAGTAATAGAAAAAGTCTTTTACCTAAATCTGTATTTTTAATGCACTGACTTTTAAAATTTACAAATAGATCCTTTGATTATTTAGCAGGTAACATCTAAAGGAACTGGTTTAAATCCTAATGCCAAAGTGTGGCAAGAAATTCCTCCTGGAAATACTGATGCCACGCCAGTAACTCATGGAACTGAAAGCTCTTGGCATGAAACAGCAGCCACATCAGGGTCTCATCCTGAGGGTGAGTCCTAAATATTTTGTCAGAACAAATCACATTTTGTTTAAACATATGGCCAACCCAGTTTATAGAACTTTGGGGTACATCCTTTGATTATTTGATTAAATATGTTTATAAACGTTTAACATGTAGTTTGTATACAATTCTCATATTTGGTGTGAATGGTCACTAATTTCAAATAATAGCTGTATCGTCCAGCCTTTAAGCCCATTTATAAAATGGTATTTAGAAATTAGTTTTGATCTACCATCATTGGCAATGCTATTTACCTACTTATTTGACCTTGGACAATTGACTTAATTTGTCTATGCTTGTGTCCTTGATCTATAGCTCAAACAATAATAATAAAAATAGTAATAATAGTTACTTTTGGCAGAATTAAGTTAATAAAAGTGCATTAAGCTGTCTGATAGATGGTGCTATATAAGTTTAAGCTACTGTTAATCATTTTACCTTACCCATAATTGTCAAAACTTAACTGCCTTAAGAAGAGAACTTAAAACTACGTGGACATTTCCCCAACTGGTAGAATTCCTTGAAATCTTGATATAGAAGACGGGGGGCCCAGAGTTCCTAAAGATAGAATTTAAAGAATTCCCTATTTATTTTCAGTATGTTTTCTTTTGTACAGGTAATACAGAGCTTTCAGATGACATGTGTAAGGAATATGAAGTAATGTATTCATCTTGTGAAACAACAAGAAATTCTACAAGCATTGAAGAATCAGCTGATGGAATGATTTTAGGGCCGGAAGATCTGACTTACCAAATATATGACGTTTCTGGTAAGCTTTAGGTTTTATTGGTCAAATGAGAATTCAGTATACTAGTTTTCTCACCCCTAGTCCCAAGTCTCTATCATTGTTCCAATTATCTTATGGCATTGATTAGTTTATTTTCTTATTGGGAAAGAAGTTAATGTTAATGAAATGTTGTTAGGTAATACTGTTTTTAAATGGCCAAACATGAAAATTGTAATTTAAAACGAATATTAACTTTAAACTTCCTACTAAAGGAAAGTGTGAAATTAAAGATAAAAGGGGAAAAAATAGTTGAAAAAGGCCTAAATTACAATTTTTCATAGGATTTGAGTTTCTTGGACTTTTAGTTGGAATCAATGCAGATCCTGTCAATTTTCCCATCACTTTTGTCATTGTGAAATGCATTTGTAAATGTGAAGTTGTGGAGATTAATTTTAAGGAAAAGACTGTATTAAAAACATGGTTTTACTACAATTTAACTTGTGGAACATGGTGGGGTTTTTTTTCACATTCACTTAACTGTCGTGGATTAGTAGTTGATTGGATTTAAAATGTGTGAAATCTAAAGGAAACTAAAACTGGACCATAGACCCTCATGACCTAACTTCATTTTTCTAATTTCCAAAGGGTCTCTTTGGAAAATAAGTGTAATGGGAAGGGGTAGGCATTTCTGTCTTTGCCTTCCATCAAGGTATATAAACCTTTGTCTTCAATTTCCTTATTTATTATAAATACTTGGACTAGATTTCTAAAGTCTATTGGCTTGTAAGTTGATTTCTGAATTGGAGTAAGATGGTATTTCTATATAATAATTTAAGGTGGCAGGTTCTACTCTCTGCTTATGGTCATAATATACCTAACTACCGGCTACTTTGAATATAGAGTTGATTTACGTAATGTGGCAACCAGTTGGTATATTATTAAGTTTGCTATAATGACATTGAAAGGTTAAATGAAATTATTGCTCATTTAGCTGGCAATTGGGTAGATGAATTTTGTATTAGAAGGATTGTATATACATAAAAATAGAATGTTTATATTCATTTTAATGAAGTTAATATATAATATCATTTTGAATATTGAATAGTAAGACAAGGTAATGCTAAAGTCATACACAGACTTTATCTTTACATACACCCTATTGTCTGTATGTTTAAAGGAAGTTAAATATTAATGCTTTTAAGAGTCGCTCAGTTGGTTGAGCATCATCTGTGCACCGAAAGGTTGCCAGTTCGATTTCCAGTCAGGGCAAATACCTGGGTTTCGGATTTGATTATCTAGTCATAGAGCGTATGGAAGGCAACCGATCAGTGTTTTTCTCTCACGCTGATCTCTCTCTCTTTCCCCCTCTTTCTCCCTCTTCTCTCTCTAAACATGTCCTCAGGTGAGGATTTGGAAAAAAAAGAAGAGGACAAATTAAATGCTTTGGGTCTGTGTAAGAGAATAATGGTTTTCCAGGCTTGAGTCCTGAAAAAAGGTCTCATGTTCTGGGTTTAAATAATAGAAAGCATAGGAGACTGTTAGTTGATCTGGTTCTTTGGATATTTGAGTGCTTTAAATATTCCTAGGAAGATAATGGTGCTCTAAAATTAAGGAACAAAAAGAATATTAAAAGATAGAAGTTTAGCCCGGCCGACATGGCTTAGTCGTTGAGCATCGACCTAGGATCCAGGAGATCTTGGTTTGATTCCCAGTCAGGGCACATGCTCGGGCTGTCATCTGTGCAGGAGGCAGCCGATCAGTGACTCATCATTGATGTTTCTAACTCCCGCCCCCTCTCCCTACCTCTCTGAAATCAATAAAAACATATTTTTTAAAAAAGAGAGAGAAGTTTAAGGAGCGTGACTAATACCAGATTTTCTGCCAATACTATGGGGGCAGGTGCCTATACATATACATATATTTATATCCACTTTGTTTAGCTAGCCCTGTCTTCAAATTTAGATTGATACTAACTCTTGTTCTTTATTTTAAACTATTTAGGATAGTATTTTACAATATGTTAACTGTATTATATTAATGGTGTTTTGTTAATTACTTGATAAAAGTTTTTAAACTGATGTGAAATCTCTAAAGAATGAAGAATAGATTGGTTGAAAGAAATTAGTTGGGCTTTAAACTATCTGAATTATAAAAAATAATAAAGAGTTTAATTTGATGAGTTTAATTTGTATATACTTTGTGACTTATTCTAAGTATAACAATATGTAAAGTTTACCACCTATGGTAATTTGGTATTAATTTTTTCCCCCTCTGGTTTTCTGCCATCAGGAGAAAGCAATTCAGCAATTTCTACAGAAGACCTAAAAGAATGTCTGAAGAAACAATTAGAATTCTGTTTCTCACGGTACACTATCATTTTTGTGTGGATATTTCTCCTTTTTTTGAATTGTTTGGTTAGTAGATGTAAAATACCTGGAAGAATGGTGTTTTTAATTTTCTTCAGTGATGTATTCTGGTATCCTTCTATATTTCTTTACTAGATTTAAAGGTGTAGTCTTCAATTGGAATATGCAAAGGATATTCTATTCTCGGTAGAAAGATAATGAAATTTCTCTTGGATGCTTTTTTTTTGAACATGTTCAGGTTTATGGTTCTCAAAAAAGTAGTTATTTCTTAATTTATATTTTTTAGTAGTTGGCTCTTTGATCATAGAGTTATTTTTAGTAAGGGAGGTGAATGGCATAGAATTTATATTACCAGTGTCTTCTATTAAATAAGTTCTTTCAGGCAAATGTTCCAAGGTGTCTTATTTACAGATAAGATTATTTAGTTATATTTACACGTTAGACATCTTAACACTTCAATACGTAGAATTGCCCCTTCCAAAATAAGTTATCGTTTTGGAGATAGAAACTTCAGTGAGAGAGAAACATTGATCTGCTGCCTCCTGCATGCCCCCTACTGGGGATTGAGACCCAAACCCGGGCATGTGCCCTGACTGGGAATCAAACCAGTGACCTCTTGGTTCACGGGTCGACGCGCAACCACTGAGCAACACCTCCCGGGCCATTGGTTGCTTCTTATATGTGCCTTGATCGGGGGAAAACCTTGGTATATCGGGACGACGCTAGCCAACTGAGCAACCCAGCCAGGGCCTCACAAGTGTTCTTAAAGTGAACATGAAGATTTGAACTTTTTTTTTTTTTTTTTAAATATATCTTTATTGATTTCAGAGAGAGGAAAGGAGAGGGAGAGAGAGATAGAAACATCAATGATGAGAGAGTCATTGATCGAGCCCGCAATGCGGGCATGTGCCCTGACGGGGAACTGAACCCCGATCACCTGGATCCCTGGTCGACGCTCAACCGCTGAGCCACGCCCGGCCGGGCAAGATTTGAACTTCTTGATTTGCATGGTTTTGTGGTGGTTTCTGGGTCAAGTGAATATTGAACCATTTTCGAGGGCACCTCAGGCCGCTTTCAGGAAGAGCCTTTTTATTTCTAGACACAGTCCACTCTCAGCTCAGATTTAATTGGTTCCTCATCCTAAATATCTCCCTTTTCATTCCCTCTCTCTTTTCTTTGTCTTCATAGTCTAGTACAGACCCTAAAATAAAAGCAAGAACCTTCTGTCTTTCTTTTCTCTAGTCAGATATAGTTAACTTTCTGTAACATACTTGTAATAGTTATTTTAAAATCTTTGCCTACTAACTGGATCATTTGTGTGTCTGCTAATATTCTGAGCCTTTTCTTTTGATTCTGTCATAATTTTTCTGCATTTTGCGTGTCTTATAAATTTTGATTATATGCTGGACATTACATATAAAAGAAGCTAGAAGCTGCAAGTGATATAATTTTTCCATCTAGAAAAGATTCGAACTTTCTTCTAGTAGGCAGAAATAGAATAATTGCTTCAATTAAGCTGGGCCAGGGCTGAGCAGCCATTTTAATTAGACTCGGTTCACCTCTAATTTATGTTCGTTCCTTAGGCATGACCTTCTCAGGCTTTTGATTTAGAACTTGGCAGTTTTCTGTTACCTCAGTCCTGAAACACCAAGGGAGATTTAGCTCTGTTCTTCAGAGGTTTGAGATTAGTTCTTCAGCCTCTTACCTCATACAACTTTAAAATCTGGCAAATGTCTTGTGGAGGAAACGTGTCTTTTGTTTGATGCAGGGTTCCTTCTCTCTTCCCCTGGAACTTCCACAAGACCACAGAGATTTACTCTTTTCAACTTGACTCCCAATCTCTCATCTCCCTCCTTAGAACTCAGTAAACACAGTTGTGTGTTGGGGCTGGGGCTCCTCTAGTTTCCAATTCATAATGCCTGTCCTGTGCAACTGCTGAAAGCTCTGCTGGTTTTCCTCTGGCCTGTGATCGGCAAATGCCCTCAGGAAAGGAAGATCATTTTCCTGGAGTTTCATTTTGTTCTCATAGCTTCCACAGTTCTTTTATTTTCAAAAACATAATTGTTTCAAGCCTTTTTAGTTGTTGCAATGGAAGTGGGAGCTTTTGCTTGTGATAATCTACCACATTCTGCTCAGCACTGTGTTACAGTTCAAACCAGCTGGGTAATTGACATTTGTAGGTCAGCAAAATGGCCATTAGTACATGTCAGATATTAGTCATAATTATTCAAATCCTAAATGTTATATCCATTAAGTTGACTTACTTCTGTGAGGTATAGTTTAAGGGTTTGACAATGTTTTATAAGAATAGACTTGCTGAAAATCAGAGTAAACTCAGGCTACAACTTTTTAGTTGTGCAAATTTTATGTTTATTGTTTCTTATTTTAAAGTTCTTAAAGAATTTTTTAGCCCTGGCCGGGTAGCTCCTTTAGTTAGAGTGTCATCCGGATATGCCAAAATTGCAGATTCGATATCCCCCATCAGGGCACATACAAGAATCAACCAATGAATGCATAAATAAGTGGAACAACAAATTGATGTCTGTCTCTCTCTCTCTCTCTCCATATATATAGATAGAGATATAGATTTTTTTTTTTGTAAAAGATTTTTTTATTTATTACGGTGTTACTGGTATGTTACTCCTTTGGTGCTGAATTGAGTTCAACCTTTACTGCTTTCCCCTGTGTTCTCATTTTTCTTCCAAAAGCAAATAACCACCACCTGTTGACAATTGTAACCTTTAAAAAGTAATTACTACTGTTTTACTATAATTTGAATTTAAAGGCCTTTGACCCTAGTCTTTACCAAGCACTAGGGCTTTGAAACACATTTTTGAACCTCAAAGACCCTTCATGGAACCTGTATTCTGGCCGGGGTGGGGTGTCACAAAACAGTAAATGTAATAAATAAGCAAATTAGAAGTGTTAGGTGATAATCACTATGGAAGAAAATTAAATAGAGCACTGTAAGCAAGGGAAGGGACATCAGGAGTGCTTGGGTGGTTTCAGTTTTAAACAGGGTAGTCATTAAGAAGGTGCCTTTTAAGCATAGACGTCTAGATATTTATAACCAGACTGCTTCAAAGATTTGATGTGAATAAGGTATGAATTTTATTTTACTTTAGTTTGTTAAATAAGATTTTATGTGTAAGACAGAAGTGTTTATATCTTTTTAAAAAATGTATCTTAAAGAATCTTTAGTCTTAATTTTTAAATTTATTTTAATGTAAATTAAAAATCAAACATTTATAAAAAAAATGCAAACATTCAGAAACTTAAAATCCTCCATGATCCAACTGCATATTCTAGCATCAGTGATAAAGTGTTTATAAGATGGAACTACACTATATATTACTATTTTGTAACATACTTTTAAATTTAATACTAACCTCTTTTCATATTAATATAATTTCATAAAATCCCTTGTTCAAAACTATTGGGCCCAAAAGGTGAAGGGATTAAGCCCAAAACAAAAACTCACAGGCACAGACAATAGTATGGTGATTACCAGAAGGAAAGAGGGATAAGGGGCGGTAGAAGAAGATGTAGGGGGTTTAAATGATGATGGAAGAAAACTTGACTTGAGGTGGTAAACTCACAGTACAATATACAGATTATATGTTACAGATTGTATGTAGTATAGAATTGTATGCCTGAAACCTATCTAATTTTATTAACCAATGTCACCCTGATAAACTATTGGGCCAGTGTATTTGGGGATTCAGAATCTTTCTGGTAGTTGTTAGAGCATATCTGTTTATTATATATTTTCATAATTGTGTTATTTCTGATAGCATAATTTTATTTTCCTAGACTTAGTGACAAAAGTGAGTAAGGTACTGCTTTAGGTGCTTTTAAAGAATTGTTTGTTTTATAGGACTGTTGCATTTATTTATTTACTTTTTATTTATTGTTTTTTCAGAGAAAATTTGTCAAAGGATCTTTACCTGATATCTCAAATGGACAGTGATCAGTTCATCCCAATCTGGACAGTTGCCAACATGGAAGAAATAAAAAAACTAACCACAGACCCTGATCTAATTCTTGAAGTGTTGAGATGTATGTAAATCATACCTTTTAGCTTTTTTTTTTAAGTCAAAAAATTAAATGTCCTTTTCATTTCATATTATACAGGGAATTGTTTTAACTCCCAGTTTTTTGCAACTCTATTCCAATAATTTATCTTTACTGACTGATAAATAGTTTCTATATCAATTCTACACCTTCATTGTTCATTTTGATACCCAATTACACATATAAGCAATTAAATCTCAGTTTTCTGGGCTATTAGAAAGTTTTATGTGTCATTTTCACACCACCTAAAGCAATCTATTTCAAACTTTTAAACCCAAGTAGTACGTTTTACATCACAGTTCAATATATATACCTCATACCCACATACAACTGAAATGCTACACAGATTAATACTAAATGCTTGCAGTGAACTAATTTCTTTTAGTCTAAACTGATTGACAACCTATTAAAGAGTTGTAACCTACAGTTTGACAAACACTGCTCTAAAATTTGGTAAAGAATTTTTATTTTCAGGTTGAAGTTGTAAGAATTTTTAGTGATGTTTATATCGTGCAAGTATTTTTCGTAACATCTCTCATGTGGTTTTTGTTAACTACTTGACTGAATAAAGGCGGATCTTAATTTTTATATGAAATGTTATTGGAAATGTTTGAAAGTTAAATATAGCAAGTCCAATAATAGACTTACTATATGGGAGTAGAGGATTTTCATTCTCAGAAGGCTAAAAACATTTATGAGATAGCCTCTAATTGCTTTGTGCAGACATCATTTCTTAAAATGATCCAGTCTTGAAAAATTGGCCAAAAGACTAGCAGAATTCCCCATCCCTAAGGGCTGGAACCTAACACTAATACCCAAGCCATTTCTCTTAACTGCTTTTTTTATTCTCTGCCTACCTGTTAAGTGAGAGATGGCATATTATCTTTCTGAAGGGACTAGAAATAAAAGTTTTAGCTATCTGGTTCTGTTTTCATTCGATATTTTCTCAAAATCAACATCTAAAAGATGGCTTCTAGGTCTTTGTAGTAGTATGTAAATAATTATGTTAAAATCAAGGAAAGATTATAATCATATGTGCGTAATTCTTGGTTTAAGCATTTCATAGACTAATTTTAAGAAGAGTTTCTTCACACATTAGAACTTACTGCATTCCCCAGAGTAGGGTTTGGCTAATGCAGGTTCATTGATTTTTGTCATTCTTGAATAAAGAATGTGGTAATTGTATATGGGGAAATTGCCTTATTAAATATGTATTATATGCTCCCTGAAGGCTTTTTTCCCCAACCCCAGTACAGTTGCAAGTCACAAGGTAGGTACTCTGAATATTTGTTCAAAGAACAACATTTGACAGTGTTTTTTGTATATTAATCTCATAATATTTTATTGTAACTATAATCTTTGATTCTATAACTTAATTTCTTTAGGATATTAACCTCTGCTAATATATTCAGTTGGAAATAGAAATGAATAGGCTATTTTTAATGGCATTAAAATTTGGTCTATACTTGTCACTTGTGAATGAAACCTTTTTTAAAATTTCAGCTTCTCCCATGGTACAAGTTGATGAGAAGGGTGAAAAAGTGAGACCAAGTCATAAGCGTTGTATTGTGATTCTTAGAGAGATTCCTGAAACAACACCAATAGAGGTAAATTATTAAGCATTGTTAAAGCTAAGTGTCCTTTACTTTTTAAATTGGAAGAGCTAAAATAAACAAGCAGAGGGTGTCAATGCCCTCATATCAGTTACTGTGAATAGGACAAATACTGATTTGTTTTGTAAATTTTGAAATTTTTGAAGAAGGGTACAGAGGGAGGAAGAAGATATAATTCTGTGTTCTTAGGAGACACTTGAGTATTGCAGTGAGACTAACTTTGAATTTATTGATTTGACTGAATGACAATTAAAATATAAACAGGTTCTTTTGAGAATTTGAGGATTCATTGAAAGGTAAATTAAGAAGGAAAATATAAATAAGGATTAATGGGTCAGGACAAAACCTTCTGGTTAGCAAAGTATAAAGCAAAGCTGCAGTTACAAAGATAGTATGGTACAGGCTCAAAAATAAAATAATATTTGATTTTTTAAAATATGTTTTTATTAATTTCAGAGAGGGAGAGAAAAACATCATGTGCCCTGACCAGGAATCAAACTGTGACCTTTTGGTTCATGGGTCTATGCTTAACCACTGAGCTACGTCAGTCAGGCTAAAATAAAGTAATATTTGAATGAAACAATACAGTCCAGGAATAGGCTCTTTTATACAATAATATATCTATAATAACATTTATTTGATAATTAGATTCTACTAAATATTGTGCAATATACTTTAGTTATTTAAAGCCTAAGGTTTTATTATTTGTTTTACAGACAAAGTTAACTGAGCTTTAGGGTGGTTAAATAAGTTAACTATGAACACATGAGTGTTTAAATGACAGAGTCTGAATTTGAGCTTGATCTCTGATTTTGAAGCCCATGTTTCTCCTTAACCACTAAGCCACAGAGCTTCATACTACGTTGTCATGTTAAAGCATAGTAAATTAGAGAAGGGGAGAATTAATCAGTAACTGATACATGGTAATTGATTAACCATTTTAAAATGGTTAAGACTCTTGCCACTTAACAAATTTGTTAATCTTTTTGTCCAGAGTTATTTAGTGTTATATTTCCAGAGTGCAGTGAGAAATTAGAAAAGAAACTATCACTAGATCTTTGATTTAAAATTACGAACTATATGCCAAAAATAACAAATTGAAAGGAAGATTGCAGAATAGGAAGAATATTTGCAATATTAAAAAACAGTGTAGCCCAGCTGGTGTGGATTAGTGGTTGAACATGGACCCATGATTCAGGAGATCACAGTTTGATTCCTGGTTAGGGTACATGCACAGGTTGGGGGCTTGATCCCAGTAGGGGGCATGCAGGAGGAAGTTGATTGATGATTCTTTCTCATCATTGATGTTTCTATCTCTCCTTCTCCGAAATCAATAAAAAAAAATTTTTTTAAAGGAAACAATGTAGAGTATACATAAGCCTGAACTCTAGAGCCAAACTGCCTCAATTTGGATTCTAGCCTTTTTACTCGCTAGTTCTATGACCTTGGATAAGTTATTTGACCTCTCTTGCCTCGGTTTTCTCATCTGTGAAATGGGATAATAGTAATAAGTAATTCATAGAATTGTTGTGGGAATTAAGTGAGTTAGTATATAAAGAGTTTAGAGCAGTGGCAAGCATATAAAAACACTCGGGATCTTCAAGTCAGAATGAATCCTTCCCATGGTCCTAGGATTTCAGGCTATTCCATGGGCAAGGAAGGGGTGGAAAACTGAGAGTTTCCATCTTATTTTGAGCTCCTAATAAATTTCAAATATTACCAGATGCTATACAAAAAGAAAAAGAAAATCATACTGGAAGGAATATCATTAAACCTCAGACATACAGCTGGCTTGAAAAAGAATGACTGATCATGTATAAGTAACTTCATCTCTCTAGCTATCATTGTCCTTAATTGTAAAAGTCAGGAAATGAAAAGGAAAAAAAAAAATCAAGAGTGCATAGTAAAATAGTAAGAATATAAAAACGCATAATAAAACTTACAGGGAGCCCGGCAGGGTGTGGCTCAGCGGTTGAGCGTAGGCCTAGGATCCCAGAGCTCGCGGTTTGATTCCCGGTCAGGGCACAGGCCCGGGTTGTGGGCTCGATCCCCAGCAGGGGACATGCAGCCGATCAATGACTCTCTCATCATTGATGTTTCTATCTCTCTCTCCCTCTCCTTCCTCTCTGAAATCAATAAAGATATATTTAAAAAATAAAATAAAACTTACAGGGAAATGGTAACTATTTCATTTTACTTGAAGCTCAATGCTCCTGTCCACCATCTCTTGAAAGACTGCCAAATGGAATGTGTGAGTTATCAGAAATCTGTTGCCTGCAAACATGAACTGGAGTTTTCACCACCTTCCCCCAGCATCTTGGACTAGCTAATCCTGGACTTTTCTTCAGGATCATTAACTCAGGGATTTTTAATAACAAGGGTTATTTTTAAAAAAACAAAATAACTTGATTTATCACTGTTGAATGCAGTAGTTTTAACCACCCAAAACACTGGTATCTGCATGTGTGCATGCTCAAAAAAACACTCTAAAGTTAGCCATTATTATAATTTTTATAAATATTGTAATTCGTTGTCTGGATACGTAGAGCTCACACACATGAAAAACAGTAAATAAAAGGAACAAGCAACATAAATAAAAGGCAGCAACATAAGTTGATTAAAAAATAATAATAAAGCAAGTGCAGGTGACTAAAATAGCCAGAAAAAGTGGACCTATGCCCTAATAACTGAAATTCAGATTAAAATGAGGAGATTTGGGTTCTGACCTTCAAAGTTCCTCTCAGATGGAATAAGTTTTTGATTACTTTAGATCCAGACCTTTTTTCTTAATTTGGGGAAATGAACCTGTGAACAGAACTCTTCCTAAAAAGTGATTAAAGTTGAAAATAGGGATATTATTGGGATTTTATTAAGATTTCAATAAATTATACTATACATTTTAAAGGAATTAAATATTTGGAGAATATCTATGGATTTTTGAAGGTAGAGATTAATGGGTGGCAGGCAGTCTAACTGAGTTGCACAGATATTTCTCTAAAAATGGAATTCTGTACTGGATAGGAATTTTTTTTTTTTTTAAATATCTTTATTGATTTCAGAGAGAGGAAAGGAGAGGGAGAGAGAGAGACAGAAACATCAACGATGAGAGAGTCATTGATCGAGCCCGCAACCCAGGCATGTGCCCTGACCAGGAATCGAACCCCGATCGCCTGGATCCTAGGTCGATGCTCAACCGCTGAGCCACGCCCGGCCAGGCAGGAATTTTATTAACTGAAGTTGGTGGTATTTCACCACTTTCACAAATGTCACAAAACTCAGCTGGTTGACGACTTATTTCGAATAGTATTTGACTCAAGAAAATGTCATCATAAATAGAGACCATCTCTTTTTTAAATTCAGTGCATTAAACAATTGAGAGAGTTAGAATACACGTTAGACTTCGGTGTTATCATGTTTGTCCAATCAGCTTAGTAATGGTCTTTTAAAAAATTGATACCTAGTGATATTTTGTGGGACAGTCTAACCAAATCATATTCTTTTGATATTTTGTAATTATTGGTTACTACTAAATTTCTCCTTGAACTCAAATAGGTATTAGACAAAGTGGAATTTGGAGGTATATAAATCTGGGTTTGAGTTCCATTCTGTGTTAGTATACTCAGTAAACAATCTCAGCCACCATTTCCTCAGTTATAAAATGGAGATGATAAAATCTTCAACACAGGGTTTTTCAGAAATAAATCACAGCATCTTACTCTGGAAGGTATTTCAGCAGGTATCATCATATCCAGTTTTTTTTCTGTTTTTTTTTTATAAACTTCTTTCAGTCTGTTAATGATTATACATTTCTGAATTTTGGTAATCATCTTTTTCTAAACCCATATATTTGGTGGAGTTTTAGTTCTTAGTTATATATATCAGTTATAGAAAAGAGAAGATATATTTGCACAGAGTTCATATCTATGAATGACTGATGTAGACAAAACATCTGGATCAAATGAGAACGCATGAAAATACAGTCAAACCTTGGTTCTCAAAAATCTCCCATCTTGAACAATTGGGTTCTCTACCAAGTTGTTCACTGTCTTGGCTGTGGAACAAAACTTTTAACCTGACAGCCCCTTCATGCTCATACCTCACCATGATAAAATGTTTGTTGCTGGCAAAATCAACGATTAGCACAATTTTGAAACATAAAGAAGCCATCAAGGGTGCTGATGTCGCTAAGGGTGTGAAAGTGCTCACAGAACAAAAGTCACAAGCAATTGAATAGGTAGAAAAATGGTTGTTGATTTGGATAAAGGAAAAGCAGCCCATGTCAGAGGCAGTAATATATGAAAAAGTCATTTAAGGCTAATTAGGGAGTGGTTCGATAAATTTAAGAAAAGTGTTTATTTTTAGATTGAGCAGTACATTAGACATCTACTGTATATAAGAAGGGCTAGAACGGAATCATTTGAGGGTCTGGAATGGATTAATTCAATTTACCTTATTTCTAATGGGAAAAAATGATTTCAGTTTTCAAACAAATCCCTTCTTGAACAGCCTTCTGGAACAAATTAAGTTCAAGAACCTAAGTTCCACTGTACTTAACACCTAGAAAATGTTAAGGGAAGACATACATTTTCTTTCCTTTTTTAAAAAATAATGGCAGGACTGGAGAGATTTTACTGTATGGAAAATTAAGATTGCCACTAGGAGTGAAGTACTTCAATTTTGATTATAAAATAGGGTTCCATCCCTAAATCATAAAATTTATGCTATCACTATACATGTTTTCATTTCAGAATATAACCTGCTCTCTGTAGAAAAATGGCAGAAGCCATAAACAATTGACAAGAAATAGAAAGGACCAAAAGACATGAGGAGAAAAAATACCTATTATTGATAAGTTTTTTAGAATTGACTAAAGTTTTTCTTTTTTAGGAAGTGAAAGCGTTGTTCAAAAATGAAAACTGCCCCAAGGTAATAAGCTGTGAGTTTGCACACAATAGCAACTGGTATATCACTTTCCAGTCAGACACGGATGCACAACAGGTGAGAAGAAAACTTTTCTTCTAATTTCAGTCCTAGTGGTAAAAGAAGTAGTGGTATATCTTAATTTAGAAAATGTGTGCATCCAGTACTGCCTGTAAAGATTGTTGAGCACCTTGTTCACCTTTTTGGTTTTGCTTATTGGTTTCCTTTTTGATCATCTTTCTAAAGCTTTTTCAGTTTCAATTTGAGAACAGTATTTCTATCAATAAAAAAATTAACAGTTTTAAAATTAACATGGGGATTGGGAATCATATAATTAGTAGTTGGTATTTCTAATACATAGTAGGCCTGCAGTAAATATACAACTTCCTTTCTGATTCTTGGAACTTTGATATAATGATTTTACTTTTAATTGTTATGTCCTACTTAAAGATAAGTAATATTCCTTTGAAACAGAAACATATCTAATAACATTTTAAAACCACTCACTGGTTTTTGTTGTTGTTGGTTTGTTTTTCATTTTTACCTTGGAAGGCTGTCTGAGCCATTTAAAAAAAATGATATGTAGTGACATTTCGAGTCTGTTTTGAATTTTGTGTATTTTATCTGCAGTAATCCATAGTAGCTAACCTACAGTGAATGTAAACTGTAGCTGTGGTCTTGACTTTTTATTTTTTTATTTCCTATCACCTGCGTAATGGAATCATGTTCAGAATATTTTTATTGTTTAGTTTAGAGATAGCTGCTAACACCAAACTCTCTGGATAGAATAAAGATGGCTTTAAGAAAATGTTTGAATGCTAATGAAAGCTCCTTTCTGCTTTGTTAACAGGCTTTTAAATACTTGAGAGAAGAAGTTAAAACATTTCAGGGCAAGCCAATCATGGTAAGAAACATTTGTGAGTAAGACCAGCATCTAACAACAAAGTTCTTTGTTGTTTGTCTGTTCGAGAATTTAAAAAACACAAATGGATAATATATTTTATAAAACCTATAATGATTTTAAAGAAATTTCTGACTCATATGATGTGCTACTTTAGAAAATTAGTTGATAGGGCATCAAAATACTTTCTATACACAATTCTTTCCAAAACCATAACTTGAAACAGCATGAAGTTTTAGTTAGATGCTGATTAATAAAATGTAAGATAATCCCAGATCTCAAAATGAGGAGTAGAAATAATTTTTTAGTAACAGAGTGGAAAACATTTGTAGTACTTTCAACCTTATCTCAATTCACTACATCATTACATTAATCAACCATTTTGGAAATCTGGGAATTGACACTTGCTCACTTTCTTTACATGTCTGATCTATCCTCAGATTCCATGAAATCTACCTTCAAAACTTCTTTCAGTCATTATTGCCATTGTTTAGGCTTAAAAGAGTAGTGTTTTAACTGTTAGGCCTTTAGCATTTCCTCCCTTACAGTTTGTTCTCCACATTGTTACCAGAGTTACCATCTAAAATAGAATCCTAAACGTGCACTTACTTTGACATGCTCCTCTTTCCCTATGAGTGGGGCAAAAGTAGGTTTACAGTTGATCATATGGAAAATAATACAATTAATACATAATATAAGAATATACTCATGCACTCACAACTGTAAACCTACTCTTGCCCCCCCTGTATAATAATTATTTGTAAATGCAATACATAATTCTTATTGAGCTCTTACTGTGTATCAGTTTCTGTTCTAAGCACTACTATATGTATAGAGTCGTTTAATTCTTACAAGAACCTAATAAGGTAGGTACTTGAGTTTTCCCTCTTTTTTTTTTTAATCTTCACCTGAGGGTATGCTTTTTTTTTTCCCCCCTAAAATCCTCACCGAGGATATGTTTTTCCATTGCTTTTGCTTTTCAGATAGAGTGGGAGGGAGGGAGGGAAAGAGAGAGAGACACATCGATTGGTGAGAGAGAGGGAGAGATTGGTGCCTCCTGGATGCGCTCTGACTGGGGCCGGGGATCAAGCCTGCAACCAAGGTACCTGTCCTTAGCTTGAATTGAACCCAGGACCCTGCAGTCCTCGGGCTGACGCTTTAACCACTGAGCAAAACCAGCTAGGGCAAGGATATGGTTTTTTACCTTAGAGGGGAAAGGAGAGAGAAACATCAGTGGAAGAAAGAAACATGTGTTGCCTCCTGTATGCGCCCCAACCAGGGATCAAACCCGCAACCTTTTTGGTGTATGGGACGACATTCCAACCAACTGTATTTTCTCTCTCTTACTGGTAAGGAAAGTGAGGTATGAGAGTCACCTCCCAAGTTTCACACAACTAGTAAGAAGAACTAGGATGAAAGGAACTTACATTTATTAAGAGATTATATGTCATACACTGTGGAAAGAACTTGATGTATTATTGCTGTGTGGTAGGTGGTATTATTACTTTCCATATTACAGATGAAGCTATCTGCCAGTTGTCATTTTATTTCCTCTGCCTATAATGCTTTTCTCCGTATTATCTCCTGTCCCTGCTTGAGGCTATAAAAATATTCTCCTAGGTCTTCTAATAGCTTTAAAATTTTGTATGTTGGATTTAGGACTTAGAAACCTCTGGAATTAAATTGATATATAGTATAAGATGGGTCTAAGTTCTTTTTTTCCCTCCTTCATATATGGAAAGTCAGTTGTCTTAACAGTTACTTGTTGAGTGGCCTGTCCTACCAATTGTGTGGAATCTTGCACCTATCAGATCTGTTTCAGGTTCTTTATTCTGCTACTCTACTGAACCAGCATCTCTCTTAATTACCATAGTTTTATATATCCTTATCTCCTTATTCAAGTTCTCCCTCCTTACTGTTATGTTTTAGGATTATCTTGGTTATTCTTAAGCTACTTTCCCATATGCATTTTATTTATTTATTTATTTTTAATATGTCTTTTATTGATCTCAGAGAGAGGAAGGGAGAAGGGGGGAGAGAGAAACGTTCAGTGGTTAGAGCATTGGCCCTTGACTGAAGGGCCCCAGGTTCGATTCCAGCCAAGGGCACACACCTCAGTTGCAGGCTTGATCCCTGCCCCGGTTGGGGCACTTGCAGGAGGCAACCAATCGATGGGTCTCTCTTGCATCGATGTTTCTCTCTTTCTCTTTCTTCCTTCCACTCTCTCTGAAAAGCAATGGAAAAAATGTCCTGGGGTGAGGATTTAAAAAACAACAACACCCCACACATTATTATATGCAGCAACCTTGCCTAACTAACTCTTTTATTATATCTAATGGTTTGTTTGTTGGGTCTTTGGATTATCTGCTTGAGAGATCATATCATCTACAAATAATTACTATTTTGACTATTCCTTATAACTCCCATTTCTTATAGCTTATTGCTTTTCCTGAGATTTCAAGTGTAGTGGTAAAGTATATATATATATTTCATTATAAATATCTTCTTTCTCTGCCATTTTGGTTTTTAAGTATTGTTCTTTTGATTAATCACATAGCAATGTTCTTGCTAGGAGATTCATACATAAACATTAATTTTATATCATTCATTAAAACCAAATGACCTAGCACCCAGAAAGACAGGTACAGGAGCCAGAAATCCTATATTACTGCCCTTGATGCTGCTTTTAGCTTCAACCTCTTTGATCTTGGGAGTGTCAAGTTACTTCTAAGGTCTTGGTTTGTTTCTTTAAAGTGTGCATGCTCTTTTATTTTTCAAGTCCTGTGATTCAGTAGCAATGATCTTAGAGTACAAAGGGATGAAGGGGATAATGTTTGTCCACCTATTTCTGCATATGTTGATAATTTCATTAAGAGGCAGTACTTCATCCCGTTTTAGTTAGCTTTTGTAACTAGGAATATTAAATTTTATCTGGGTTTCATATAGATGATACATATGTAATATAGAAAATATTTAATTCCCTATATTTCTGTTGTATATTTTACTATTTCAGAATTTTAAGTGTGCTAAGAAAGTAAAACAATATTAAATAATTGATTAAAATCTCCCTTCAGAGGACAAGAGCAGGTGACAAGAGAGCAGTTTTTTCTGTGTCCATCTAGGAATTTTCTTTCTTTATATAAATGGGAATGTATAATAGACAATCGTCTGTTTCTTTTACTTAATAGAGCTTCAGCATCTCTTCATTCACTACTGTTTCAAGTATACACACATTTTTCATGCCTATCATAATTAGTTATCCATTTCTCTCCATGTCCAAACAGTAATTTGTTTGTTTGTTTATAGATAATAATATTGCAGTGAGCATCATTTTAAAGTTTTTTATTGTGGTAAAATATATATACATGCAATTTACCATTTTTAAGTATACAGCTCAATGGCATTTAGTATATTCACATTGCTGTGTGACCATCACCAATATTTACATCCAGAAATTTTGCATTAAGCAGGAACATCCCATTCTTCCAGCCCCTAGTAACCTCTAGTCTCTGTCTTTATGAATTTGCCTATTTTAGATACCACATATAAGTGCAGTCATGCAGTATTTGTCCTTTTCTATCTGTCTTATTTCATTTAGCATAATGTTTTCAAGGTTCATCCATGTTGTAGCAAATATCAGAACTTCGTTACTTTTAATTGGGTTCTTAACTCCCTTTTGGCTACTGTGAATAATGCTGCACAGCTATCTGTTTGAGTCTGCTTTCAGTTCTTTAGGGCATATACCTAGGCACTACTAGCTAATATAATTCTATGTTTAACGTTTTGAGGAGCATGGAACTGTTTTCCACAGCAGCTGTACCATTTTACATTCCTAGCAATGCAGGACGATTCAAATTTTTTCACATCTTTATCAACATTTGTTATTTCCTGCTTTTTTGATAAAAGTCACCCTAATGGAATAAAGTAGCATCTCATTATGGTTTGGGGTTTTATTTCCCTAATGACTAATGATGTTGAGTGTCTTTCCATATTGTATATCTTTTTTGAAAAAATGTCATTTCAAATCTTTTGCCCACTTTTTAAAATTGGGTGGTTTTGTTGAGTTGCAGGGGTTTTTTTTTGTATATTCTAGATGTTAGTCTGTTATCAGATACATGATTTGCGAATATTTTCTCCCATTTTCTGGGTTATGTTTTCACTCTTTTTATTTATATATGTGTGTGTGTGTGCACGCGCGCATATATTTATATATAGACTTCAGAGAGAGGAAGGGAGAGAGAGAGAAATACCAATGATGAGAGAGTCGTTGATCAGCCAACTCCTGCACGTCCCCGACTGGCGGTGGAGCCCACAACTTGGGCATGTGCCCTGACCAGAAATGGAACTGCAAATTCCTGGATCCTAGGTTGATGTTCAACCGCTGAGCCACACGCGGCCTATCTTTTCACTCTTGATGTGTCCGTTGAAACACAAAAACTTTTAATTTTGACAAAGTCTGATTTATCTAATATTTTGTTGTTTGTGCTTTTGGTGGTGTACTTAATAAATTGTTGCCAAATCCAAGGTAATGAAGCTTTTCCCCTATGTGCATGGTTTAAAAGTAAAATATTTTAAATATATAGTCACACATATACAGGGTGTCTCAAAAAATATGTATACACACTGAATAAAGGCAGTGTTTATTAAAATACATTTTAATATTTAGAATGTAATAGAATCTACAGACGTAGTGTGTATACATTTTTTTGGGACACCCTGTCTCTGTATATGTGAGTAAGTCTTCATATTTTCATCTGACTTAGCTAAAGAAGAGCTTAGGATACATACTCTTCTCCTTGCCTTGCCTCTTTTTTTTTAATATTCTGGAAATCACTTCATAATAGTATTTAGAGCAATTCCTCAGTTCTTTTTACATCTGCATGTTTCTCAATTGCATGTATATATTGTGGAGTATTCAGCCATTGATGGAATGTTGGGTTGTTTTGTGTGTCTGTGTGTGTTGGGG